AATAAGACTCCGAGAGTATAGATGTCTGAACGTTTTGTAAGTTTATGAGTTTGAATAGGTTGCGAGTACTCAAGATCTGAATATTGAATTGAGGTAAGTAAAGATGCAAGCGAATTGGATTTTGTTGCATGTTCAGAGATTCTAAACGCATTTAATTTAATATCACCGCGGCAAATTAAAATATTTTCAGAATGCTAAACAAAATTTAAAAGATAATTAAACTATTTGAATAATGTTATGATCAATATAAAAGAAATTTGTTTACCATACCATGTTTCCATGAATTATGTTATTTGAATGCAAATGCATCACAGCACTTGTCAGTTGCTTTGCCAAACGGAGCTTATCATTCCAATTCAATGTATCAAAATTATTTTTTAAATAGTTTCTGAGAGTACCGTTATCCGCATACTCGATGACCAAAATGTACTTGTCTGAAGCTGAAAAAAATTTAATAAAAAATAAAGAAAAGAATGAAATAACTTGAAAATAAATTCGAAATTAATAAATTAATAATATACCTCGTAGTGTTAGACCAAATAATTTTAAAATATTATCATGATTATCTATTTTATGATATTTTTGAACCTGTAATTATAGACTATTGTTATGTTTATGTATGTTTTTTATTCTCCATAAAAGAAATAGATAAATTTTCTTACATCATTAATAAGTTCTTTGAAAGAATATTTTTGAGATTGTGATATTTCTTTTAATACCACAATTTTTTGATAAGTTATAGACATTGCTTTTTGAATAATTCCCCTCGATCCATTTCCAATAACTTCAAATTCTTCGAACTTGTCATATTGATGAAAAATGTCATTATTTTGGGTGATTTCTTTAATATTAGTCAATTCACCCATCTGTTCTTCAAGTCCCAAATCAGATGTTAAAAGTTTTGTAGCCATTTTAGATTCTAATAATCTAAAGTTATGGCTACCTGGTTGAAGGACTGAAAATGTTTTTAATTCGCATTAATATGACCTAGTGTCTAAATATTTTGAAGATCTTTTACTTGTGAGACGTAATTGTCAAACAAAACTTCTGAACAAAGGAAGCTCGAAGCACAATCACGAGCTTTATTATTTGACCCCACAGTTTGGACCATTAATATAATTGCATTTCTGATTAACCAAATTGTAACATACAATTAATTATGTACCATACGGCGCTGCAGTATTCATGTACTGTATATTTAACGAATCCTACATACACACCAAACATAATCTACACATATACTAACCTAAAGTTTTAAGAAATTCCGGGCCAAATCACAAATATTGTTTATCAATTTTAGC